TCCTCCTCCCTGTTAGGGAACTCGAGGTTTCGATGATCTTCCTCTCTCACAAAACACACTGGGGGATCCCTTTGCCTCAGTAATCTTGATGACCACAAATTCACCAGCCTACAGAAGTTTGGGGGTGGAGGGGAACAACCATCTTGCTCTTCCTCATAGGCCTTATGGACAGTAAATTCAACCACGCTTCACTCTTCACTCGGCAAAAACCTCAACTCACTACAGGCAAGTGCTTACTGTCAATAATGGAGGCGCAGCAAACTACAGCTGGTGCACCAAATCCAAACCTCCTACTTGTGTAAATAAAGTTTTATTGGCACAAAACCATGACCATTTGTTAACAGTGTCTATCCTGGCAGAGCTGAGTTGCTGTTTTAGAGACTGTATGGCCCACATATTCACTAAGGTAGAAAATATTTACTATTTGGCCATTAGGGGAAAAAAAATCTGCTGATCTCTGCTCCCAAAGGACTGTGCTATCCAGTTATTCTACTGAAAAACACACTGGAAGACCATTTTAAATGTTCCTACCCTCTGTGCTCACCTTAAAGTCTATTTCTGGGTCCTTACAGCAGGATACACAGTTTGCAATTAACGCTATTAATATTATTAAACTGCACACACACAGGATCACAAAAGATGAGGAAACTTCTGCAGCAGGTGGCGCCTCCCCTGGAAAGAGAGATAAATAATATTTAAAACATGTACATTCCAAAATCAACTTTAATTAGTGAAACAATAGTTTCCTCTACATACAAATGGGTGCAAGGATTAATAAAATAATGCTCGAGAAAAAACTGATGATCCATCCAGGATAAGAAGTTGTTGTTTCTTTGAAATAATTTAGATTTACAGAGGAGTTACAGAGATAATACAGAGAGTTCACATACACCCTTCACCCAGCTTCCACTAATGCTAACATCGTACGTTACCACAATACGCTGATCAAAACTAGGACAGTAACGCTGGTAACAAATGTTATGAAGTGAACTTCAGGCTTTATTCAGATTTTACTGTTTTCTCCACTTTAGTCCTTTTTTCTTTTCAGGATTCAATCCAAACTACCAATGTTGCATTTAATCACCACGTGTCCCTCAGCTCCTCCAGTCTCTGACAGGTTCTCGTCTTTCCTTGCATTTCATAACCCTTGACACTTCTGAAGAGTGCCGGTCAGTTATTTTGTGGAATGTCTCTCAACCGGGGCCACCCAATGTCTTCTCAGGATAAGACCAAGGTAGTCAGAGAACTCCAGTGGGGTGAACTGTCCTGCTTGCACAGCAGGGCGCATGACCTCCGCCTGGTGAGGTGACCTTTGATCCCGTGGGCCAGGTGGCTCCCACCAGGCATCACCAAACCACTGCAGGCCTACCTTTCCCTTCTCATACTCTATTCCTCGAAAGCAATGCTGGCCCACAGGGACATAAGCTGTACTTCCTGGAGGGAGGAGTGGTAGAGAGTCTGCAGACACAGGTTAAAAACCCTCCAGTAATTAGTAATATCAGGGGGAAGAAACTTTGAGGCTATGCAACTGCCTGTTTCTCCTTCAGGTCTTGCACACCAGTTTTCTGCATCTGTCAACACATCTTGCCGACAGCAATTACTACTGTGATGTTTGGAGGGTGATTTTCTATTTCCCTCGTTTCTTCTACATTCGTTATTTAGAATTTTGTAAGGAAGATTGGTCCCCTCTCCTCCCCTTATTTATTTTATTCAGTCACGTATATACTTATGGACTCATGGATATTTATTCTCCGGGCTGTAATCCAAAGTCATCATCACTTATTTTGTGGCTCCAATGGTTCCAGCCTTGTCCACTGGGAGCTCTGTTAAGGGGACTCCCGGATCTCATTCTTCCCTTTTTCTCCAACTCTTCCTTACTTCCGGGCACTCCTCATATTTTCCCTACTCTGCTTGAGAACCAGCCATTGCTCCAAGGAGTCCTGGTCACGATAAGCAGGGAGGGAGGCGGTCTGCAGACTACAGCCTGCAGCCTGCTGTTGCGTGGGGGGCCTCCCCGGACTCCCCGGAGAAGAACGACTTCTACATCTTCAAGGGGCTGTTGGAAAAAAAAAAAGAATACGCCAAGGATACTGCCTGTGAGCCACAAAGCCTAAAATATTTTACTGCCTGGCCTTTTCTCATCCCTATCTAGAGCATAAAGATTTTTACATCTTATGTTTAGCAAGTTCTTCGTTATCCGGAAAACATCTTATTCAACTAGGGTACTTGTGAAACTTTTCTTTGTCAGAGCAAACTGTTAAAGTCTCAGCTACTGGAGTTTTACTGAGAAATAAACTTTTCCTTAAAATCCTCATCTATGACAAGCACAGTGAGCATGCCTGTAATCCCAGCACTTTGGGAGGCCAAGGTGGGAGGATCGCTTGAGCCCAGGAGTTTGAGACCAGCCTGGGCAACAAAGTGAGACTCCATCTCTACAAAAAATAAAAATAAAAATGAGCTGGGCGTGGTGACACATGCCTGAAGTCCCAGCTACTCAGAAGCCTGAGGTGGGAGGATAGCTTGAACCTGGAGAAGGCTACAGTGAGCCATAAGCACATCACTGCACTCCAGTCTGGGTGACAGAGCAAGACCCTGTCTCAAAAAATAAAAATGAAAAAATAAATAAATAAATAAATAAATCCTCATCTATGGCTAATTAAGTGTTCAAATGCACCAAAAGGAAGGCAGAGAGATAAATTAATGAGGCTATTTTTTTCTTAAATGAAGCTAGGGTACTGGAAGAAAAGAAAAACTAACCCAAACTCCTAGGTGAGCAAAACACATTCCTGAATCCAAAATAAGCTTCAGTGAATCAGGGAAGTCTAAAATGAACTGCAAACAGAAATCAGTTCTTTTTCAATAACAAAAGGTCCCTTTGGGAAAGCAATGCTGAAACACCATTGTTACAAGCGGGCTCAGTCTGTGCTTAAGAATAATACAGTTAACCAAGGAGTGTCGAGAACCTCCAAGTTATAAATCAACAAAGTCTAAAACAGAGGAAAGCCCATACATTTAACACAGGCGGTAACTAGGTGATTCCTCTTAAAACCAATCTGGAGGAAGTCAGCTTTCACTGAGAACAAGAATTCCCTAACTACAGACACACTTGTGTCCATCTGGAAAACCTAAACTAAGTAAGGAGCTTGAGCCACTGAGAGCCAATTCTTATGAATGAAGACCAAGAGGGACAATTTTCTTCTCTTCCTCCTTGCAGTGAGCTGTTCACTCATCCAGACAAGTGAAGCCTGTGGAAGCACTGGAATTTCTTTTTTTTTTTTTTCTATTAAGAGATGGGGGCCTCACTATGTTGTCCAGACTGGTTTTGAACTCCTGGGCTCAAGTGTGCCTCCCACCTCAGCCTCCCAAAGCGCTGGGATTACAGGCATGAGCCGCTGCGCCAGACTGCTGGAATTATTTCTGAAGAACTGTGCTTCACTCCCCTGATTCACAAAATAAAAATTAACTGTGACTCCTGAGAATTACATAGCAAAGCACTTTCACATTGTTTTTCACTGATTTTTGGATGGTTAAGGGAGAAGAAAAAGAAAAAGACGACGTAGTTTGTCCACTGCATCTCTGAAGTTCAGGTGCATCTCACACCTCAGATTAGTTTAACTGGCAGCATTTCTTCTTTTTAGTGGTACAAAAATAAGGGTGTGACTTATCAACCTCATCTGACATTTGATAAAATACAGTATTATTTCATTTGGTCATCGCAACACCTCTGAGGTAATACGACCAGCTCCACATCGCAGATGAAGAAACCATGAACCCAGGTGGGACAGTGGCAGGCCAGGCTGAGTTTAGGTGTGCCGGGTGCGAGCTCCTCTCTCCTCGAAACCACACTGCTCCGCCTCAACGTGGTTGACTTTTAACACTTAAAAACAGCCCACTGTCCTTTGAACCCAAGTCTGTCATTAATTAGGGTAGTTTATCCTTCTTCAAACTCCGCAAAGCTGATCTGGAGTTACTTTTTCCTCTCTTGCACCCAGAGTTTTTGTTTCTTTCTTTTTTTTTTTTTTTTAAATCATCACAAACTACCCATTTATTATACAACTGGATAAGGACTGTATGAATGCCAGTCCGATTATCTGATTCATGAAAGTGTTCTCTGTGAGTCACTAGATAGGCATGAAGAGTATAACCAGGTTAAGAACAATGAACTATGCCAAGCTTTGCCCTAGCTCTCTGCCACACTTACTTCTGTTAGGGGCTGCAGGGCACCTACTCTCCCTTAGATTTCCTCAGTGTGAACCACACTTATTCAACCCCAGTATTTAACAGTCCCATTAAAACTAATGCCTGAGAAACTGACTAGGTAGCTTCAAGTAGACATTTTTAGTTACCCCTTTTTAAAACTTTAAAGTATTTTTATTTTGATGAGTCCAAAAGCACTGCACTTTAAAAAAAAAAAAAAGAAAGAAAAAAAAAACTCTAGCAATGAAAAAAAAAACCAAACTTCCATAAAATGAGGAAATCAAACATAGCCTGGAAGGTGAGACTGGTTTGCAGAAACCACAGAGAGGAAGTAAATTCTAGACTTGCGGAACCACAAATAAAATCCCCATACCGCCGTGGTCAAACTAGAAACCAGGCCCTGACACAGTTCCTGACTGCAGCTGTTAGAACCTGATGAAGACAGACAGCTTTCTTTAACGTGCAGCCTACAGCATTGAGAAGTGCGTAAATGATCCAGTCACCTACTACAGAACATCAAGAACAGGCGTCACCATACATTTAGGCAGCTTTTCCCATCACAAATTGAGAGCAAGCACCACTTGAGGTCTGGGGGACTACATATGCTTCACCCAAGACACCGATTAAAAAATACCCAGCATCTCTACAGCACATTCTGTGAGTTTTCATTTAATAGTTTTCAAAGCATTTTAATAGCTATCTAGAACTTGATTTAACAAGCAGAAAACCTGAGAAACTCTAAGAGGTAGGTACAAATTATCTGTTTTAGAGACAGGTAATTTGGAGAATGCAATTTCTCAGTAATGACTCAGCGTAAGCCAGGAATACCACCTATTAATTCAACCATTACAACTCCAGCCTAATTGTCTGATTCATGATCTCTAGAACCTCAGATGAAACTGGACCCATACGTAATTAACTAAAGAGTTGTCTGTGAGGCCATTTTTGGATTCAATAAAAAAAAAAATTAAAGACCACAGATAAAAACAAATGATGATCAACGTCTAGCTCCATTAGGGATTACAAAATGCTACATATTCTAATGCTGTCATCCCTTGTTCAGTCACTAGTGGATATGCTTTCATAAAGAGAAATTTCCTCACACTTACTATTTGGTCACCCAGTGGTTCAAGTTATAAGGAAAAGGCAGACTAGATACTTAAATCTTTCTCTTTCTTTGCCAGTTTTAAAAAAATGAGTTGGTGGTTGGGCGCAGTGACTCACGCCTATAATCCCAGCACTTTGGGAGGCCGAGGTGGGGGGACCATGAGGTCAGGAGATCGAGACCATGCTGAGCAACATGGTGAAACCCCGTCTCTACTAAAATACAAAAAATTAGCCAGGCGTGGTGGCGCATACTTGTAGTTTCAGCTACTCAGGAGGCTGAGGCAAGGGAATCGCTTGAATCCGGGAGGCAGAGGTTGCAGTGAGCCGAGATTGCACCACTGCACTCCAGCCTGGCAACAGAGCAAGACTGTCTCAAAAAAATAAAATAAAATAAAATAAAAAAGAGTTGGTTCACTAGCACCCTCTGGCAGCGACCAGTTCGAAGAGTTGCTATCACTGTTTTGTGATATCCTTATGAGCTAATGAATTTAAAGCACCCACAGGCTTCCAACTGTTGTGGTTGTTCTGACTGACATTCCCATTGTCCTGTCTCTAGGAGGCAGGGCCTCTAAAGGGGTTTGCTCCCAAGCCCTCCCACAAGGTCCCAGCAGGCCTGGGTGGATCTTGCTCCCTGGGATGTTCCAGGCATATCTTGTATAGTTTCTGCTTCAGACCTCCTATTAATCATTTCCCCAAATAGCCTTGGTTTCTTTTAAAGTGAACTGCTAATGTAAAGACCCCAGTTTCAGGAAGTAGAGCTGCTTATTCACTGCCGGTGTCACAACTACCTTGAAAACAATGTTTTGTAACATTGAACTTTGGCACCCCTGTGGTCTAAGCAGTTGCCCTCTTCAGGGATCAGGAAACTATGGCCACTGGGTGAAATCCTGCCCATAGTTTTTGTTTTGGTATGGCCTGAAAGCTAAGAATAATTAAGAATTCTCGTTTTTAAATCGTATTTTTAATCCAAAATAACATTTTGTTTGACATAAAATAACATTTTATGACACATGAAATTTATATCAATAGCTGATAACACAGAAAGACATTATGTATCTCCTGATGGAAAAACACATCACCACCTATTAAACAGTACTGCCCAAAACAAGCAAACAAAAACAATATCAAACCTGAATCTAACCAACCACCTAGATCCAAATGTCAATATGTAGGAAACACTGTGAATAGTGAAACATGTTAAATACCACCGCAAGAATGTAATCGGCAAAATACAGGTTGTGAAAAACACTTGGGGAGAAAAGCCTAGGAAACTGTAAAAAAAGAAAGATGAAGAGAGGGAGAGTGGCGAACATTAAAAGACTAAAAAGACCTACCCACCAATTCCAACATATGGATGTTATTTGAATCGTGATTCAACCTATTTTTAAAATTATGACATTTCAGGCTATTGGAAATCTGAACACTAACTGACCATATTAAGAAAATGTAATTCATTTCTCCTTGGAGTGATAATGGTCATGTGCTTGTTTTTAAATGTAGTCCTTATCTTTTGGAGATAGTGACCTACTTAATGATGTCTGGAATTTGCTTCGAAACAGCACCAGGGCGTGGAGGAAGTAGACGGGGGCAGCATGAAGGAAGATGGGCCGCAGCTAATTCAGGCTGGGTGGAAGCTGCGTGGGAATTCATTACAGTGCCTATGTCTTGCATACTTGAAGCTTTCATTTATTAAATGAATTAAAAAGTTTAAATGGAAAACAAGCAGATATCCTAATTTATCATCTGTATTCTTGCTCACTTCTGATACGGGCATTAACGTGCTAGGGCTGTCATAACCAAGTATCACAAACTGGGTGACTCAAATAACCAAAATGCATTCTCTAAGTTTTGGAAGCTCCAAGTCCAAGATCAAGGTGGCAGCAGGAAGGGCTCCTTCTGAGGGCTGTGGTGGCAGAGTTTGTTCTAGGCCTCTCCTTGCTTCTGGTAGCTGGCTGCCTTTTCCCTAAGTCCCTTCCCACCATCTCCCCTCTACATGTGTCTGTGTCCAAATTTCCTCTTGTTATATACAAGGACAGCAGTCACACTGGATGAGGCCCACCCTCATGACCGCATTTTCACTTGATCATCCCCGTAAAGACCCTCTCTACAAATAAAGTCACGTTCTGAGGCACTAGGGCTAGGGTTTCTACGTATGAATTTAGGGGGAACACAATCGAACCCATCTCTAGCATAGATGTTTAAATGAAAACAAGGGCGGAGCGTTCTGGGCGCGGAGCGGGCGAGTGCAGGGGGCAAGGGGCGCGCTGTGCAGGCCGGGGCCAGGAGCCGGGCCCAGCTGGAGCAGAGTCGGTCCTGGGGAGCCGGGCCGGGCGGGGTGCAGCCATAGCGCCACGGAGGGTCGGGGCCCGTGCCGCTGCGGGTGGCCTGGGCGCCCAGTAGCCGGGCGGGGCTGGAGCGCAGGCTGCGGCAGAGGCAGCTGCGCCCGTGCCCCGCACCCGGGCCCAGGCGATGGTGACACATGAGGCGGTGGCACCACCTTCGGACATCACCTCATGCAGAACGTAGGCCTCGAGGTGCCCTGCGACTACCGGTCCAGCCAGAAGTGCACCTGCTACCGGCCCAACCGCCGCGAGACTTGGCTCTTCTCCCGCTTCTCCACTGGCTGGAGCTGCCAGCTGCACGCCGACTGGACCGAGCTCACCAACTGCGTGCCCGGCATGCTGGACCGCCGCAACTCCGCCGCACTGCGCACACCCAGGAAGTTCTACTACATCACCCCACTAGAAGACCCCATGTCCCGCTACCTGAGCAAGTGGCGGCATGTGCAGAGGGGTGCCACGTGGAAGATGTCGTTGCATATGTGTGACTGGCGCACGCCCACGCCCGAGGAGCTGCCGCCCTACTACGAGGGCACGGACTGGTCGGGCTGCACACTGCATGAGTTCATGGACTGCCTGTACAACCTGGCCAACAACCACCAGGTTCGCATGCTGGCCGACCTGAGCCTGGTGGCCTACTACAACCTGTCCTTCATCCCCGAGGGCAAGCGTGCCCAGCTGCTGCTTGAGAGCGTCAAGAAGAACCTGCGGGGCATGGCCTTCTTGGGCCTGACTGAGTTGCAGCGCAAGACGCAGTACCGGTTCGATCAGATGTTCAACCTGAAGTTCACCCGGCCCTTCATGCAGTACAACAGCACGCGGACGGGCAGCGTGGAGGTGGACGAGGACACCATCCGCCGCATCCAGGAGCTCAACGACCTAGACATGCAGCTGTATGCCTATGCCAAGGACCTCTCCCAGCAGCCCCACCAGTACAAGCAGCAGCTGGAGCGCAGGGAGCAGCACCTGAGGAGCCGCCAGGAGCGCCCGCTGCACCGGGCCAAGGAGGCGCTGCCGCGGGAAGACGCTGACCAGCCAGGCCGCGTGCCCACCGAGGACTACGCGAGCCACATCATTGAGAAGTGGTGGTGGCGGTGGTGGCGGTGGTGGCCACGGGGAGGCCTCTAGGGGATGTGGGGGGTAAAACAGGACAGACAACAGGCCCACCCAAGACTGTCACGGGAAGAGCATCCCAAATCTGCTTCAGAGGTAGCTGCGTCCTGGAAAAAAAAAAAAAAGAGCAGGGATGCAGTGGGGCTGGGCGGGGATGGGGGCTTGAGGAATCAACAGCTGCAGCCAGTGGGTCAGAGGAAAGCACGCTTGAAGGATGCCATGGGCAGGGCAGGGCATGGCCTCCAGAGCAGGTGTTGCGCCTGCTCTCCTGGCCCACTTGGATTTATCACGAAAACTGAAGGTTTGCACAAGAGACGAGGACGGTGGAAAGTGGACCTGTCAGGCCAGGAGTGTCTCCCTCACCAACTATTCACACAGCACTTGCTCTTAGCTCCTCTGTCCAGGCTACTAGGAGAGAGACCAGCTTCTGGCAACTGTCCCAGCTCCAGGCCATCCCATAGGCCCTCCCCTTCTGGCTGCCCCCAATGCCCCAAGGCCTGGGGAGCCCCCAGCTCACCCATCTGTAGCTCCCTCAGGGTCAGGGCCCACCCCATCTGAGGCACAGAAGACTCGAGTCCAGCCCCCAGGAAGCCCACTCCCCTCTCTGGCCCATAGTCCTGCTTCATGCTTTGGGTCAGGAAGCCAAAGCTGATGTTCAGGCCCCACCCACCCCCCACAGTCCTCAAACCAAGGAGGGGTTTGGGGAGTAGGCCCAAGCGGCATTGCCGGCCTTCCATGGAACGACTGGCAGCCCAGGAGTGGGGAGGCTTTGGCCAGGGATGCTGCCACTTGTGCCTGAGTCCCTGACTGGCCTTTGGAGGTGACCACCCAGGCAGACCTGGATCAGACAGGAAGGGCTGGGGACTGAGCGCTCCCCTGCCCCTGTTCTCCTTTCTGACCCACTGGCATTTGCTAGCAGGCTGCTCCAGCCCCATCACCAAGACACGTACTCAAGAGCTCAAATACCACTGCTGCCACCAGTGTGTGGATTAAGTTCATCAGGCTTCCATCAGCTGGAGTGTGGGACCATAGTCCCTGCCCAGGAGCCATACCCTCAGACCACAGTGGCTCTGGATGGCCAGGAACAGGGACTCGAGCTTTCAGATTCTCAACTAGCCTTGACAAAACAGCTGTAGGTGGCCTCCCTGACACCAGATACTCAGCCCTCTCCACCCTGGCTCTCCTTGCATTTCCCCATGCTGCCCACCCCCTGGCAAAAGGCTGGCCATGCTCTCTGTTCCCAGCAGCCCTGCAGGTTTCCCCACTGGCTGCAATGGCCCTACTAAAAGCCATGTTGCATATCCATTGTAAGCACGTGCCCTGTGCCCTGTCCCCATCCCTTATGCCTAGGAGGCCAGGCTGGTGTCTCTACGAGGGCCCCCACAGGCGCCCTGGGTCCCCCAGAGAGCAGACTGGTGTGCTCAGGCTGCAGGCTGCTCAGAGGCAGGGCAGTGGGCTCTGCAGGTCACTTGGCTGGGGTTGGCGGGGGTCCTCTCTCCTGCCCCAGCTTTCACTCAGCCACCTCAGCTGCCCCACCGTGGGGTGGACATGTGGGTCACCACGGGCTTGGGAGCAAGTGTCTTCTGCAGCACAGGAAGGCGAAGGTGTGGTCAGATGAGGTTGCTACCCCTGGAGGTCTGGCATAAGGGCCCCACCCTCAGGCCTCCTACACTGGCCCCATTTTACTTTGGGGTCCAAGGACAGGGCGATCAACTGGGCAGGGTGGGCAGCATGCCAGCCCAGCGCAGTGCCACCTCCCTGGGTGGATGCATCACACTAAGGAAGTGAGTGCCAAGGGGATGCAGCGGTGTGGTTCTTTCAAAGGGAGGTCAGGGTCAATGGGCATCTGCTGGGACACTCGACACTAGGGTGGGTGCACACCTGGGAGGAGAAGGAACATGTTCAGGGGAGTATGGGGTCTTGCACAAGCCACGTGGGGCACCTTGGCCTCCCGGCAGGAGGTGGACACCCAGCCAGAGGCCCTGGCTCAAGGTGGCCTCACCTGGCCATGGGCTTTCTGGGTACACAGGCCCAAGCGCAGGCTGTTTTGTACATATTGGAGTATGTGTTAACTTATGCCCTGCATCCCAACTCACACAGAAGCACGGGTCTCGTCTCAGTCTCTTTGGCTGCATTTGGAAAGCAGTCTCCTCTCGGGCCAGTGCCAGGCTGAGGTGTCCAGAGGCGGCAGCAGCTGGTGGTGCCCTCAGCCCCCGAGTGTCCAGCCTGGCACTTCCCGTTCAGGCCACCTGCTTTGGGTCAACGGTTCCTTTGCCAGCAGCATCTCCTAAATTGTAAGGACTCTCTCCACCCAGGGCCCTCCCAGGGCTGCGAGGACGGAAGCAGGCAGGCAGTGGAGCTAACAGCTTAGTCACCAGGACCCCCAAACCTGCAAACGCCCCCTCCTGGAGGGGGAAGCCAGGAACAACAGAACTGCCCACGAAACAAGGCTGTGAACTTTTTGGAACTGTTTAACTTCAACCCAGGATCGTTTAAAGCTTTATTTATTTATAGCTTCTTCTCAAAAAAAAAGTGTTAAGAAGAAATTTTTTGGTTATTCATACAAAAAAAAAAATAAGTTGATGATGGAAAAGCAAGTCATAACCATCTAATTGTTTTTGTCTAGGTCAAGAATAAATGTTAGCCAATGAAATAAATCCCGACAAGGAAAGAAAATATAAATAATAAATAAATAAATAAATAAAAACAAGGAAAAACAAAGAAGAGCTAGAGACCAGTAGGTGCACATACCAACAGCAGTTACCTGCAGAGATAGAAATGGAGTGGCTGGGGGACAAAGTGCGCTATATCCTTTCCTATTTGTTGAATTTTGTACCCCCAGCTTCTCGCCATTTTCAATCTAATGGCAAAACTCCTTAACAAGGCTTCAGCATCCATCGTTGCCTGGCTACTCCTGACCTGCCAGCCCCAACTCCATCACTCCGCCCCAGCTCTCTACTATGATCTACGATGACCCTCTCTCCATCCTTCCAGATGATCTTCTGCCACTTCATTCTCATATATTCTCCTACCCAGAGACGCTACCATGACACGCACCCCCACCCCCATTCATCCATGCCCATCAGAGCTCAACTCGGAAACCATCCTTGAGGCCCATGGTTGCACTCCCTGCCTGTGCACTCCCAATTACCCTGCATCTGGAATCTGTCACTCCATGTTGTAAATGCCCATATGCCTTCCCCATTAGGCTGCAAGCTGAATGGGGTCATGGGCCAGGCTTGTATAATCCACCAATGACTCCCCAGAGCCTGGCCCAGCGCCTAGGATTCAGGTAGAAGTCAGGGGTAAGAAAAAGAGAAAACAGTGAGAGAGACAGCGATGAAGGGGCATAAGCAAGCAAGTGAAAATAAGCAAGCAAGGGAACAAAACAGGAAAGAAAAAAAAAAAACAACAGAAAGAAACCATAACCAACCCACTGGATCACAGAATAAACTTACAAGCTAGGTACAGTGGCTCACACCTGTAATCCCAGTGCTTTGGGAGGCTGAGGTAGGAGGATCACTTGAGCACAGGAGTTCAAGACCAGCCTGGGCAACATAGTGAGAGGTCATCGCTACAAAAAGTGTGAAAAATTAGCCAGGCGTGCTGGCACACGCCTGTAGTCCCAGCTACTTAGGAGGCTGAGGTGGGCGGCTCACCTGAGCCCAGGAGGTCAAGGCTGAAGTAAGCTACAATCACACCACTGCACTCCAGCCTGGACAACAAAGTGAGACTCTATCTCCAAACAAAACAAAACAAAACTGAATAAACTTATGGGCCAGGTATGGTGGCTCATGCCTATAATCCCAGTGCTTGAGCTCAGGAGTTCAAAACCAGCCTGGGTCTCTACAAAAAAATACAAAAACTTAGCTGTGCGTGGTGGCATGAGTCTGTAGTCCCAGCTACTCGAAAGGCTGATGTGGGAGGATGGCTTGAGCCTGGGATGTTAAGGCTGCAGTGGTCCGTGATCGTGCCACTGCACTACGGCCTGGGTGACAGCCTGGGTGAGAGTGAGACTGTCTCAAAAATAATAATAATAATAATAAACTTAAATTTTCAGGGTCAAATAGGATTATAAGAGAAGCATTCTTCAGTAATGTTACACTCTTACTCGGGAACATTTTCCCACTGTTAACATACACTGTATTGGGGTAGCACGACGCTTATTCCCCAGGTCTCCAAGAACTCACACAAACATGTACCCATTTTGCTTAAGCCGCATAGCTAAGGTATTTCATTAATAAATACATTATCTCAAAAAGTGGATTTCCCTCCATTTATAGTCTCCCTCAAAAACAGGTGTTTACCCACACGCACCACGTTCTCGCACAGCCTTGTCTCACTGGAGGCCTTCAGAGCATTCTACTCAGTGGGGGCAAAGCGAGAATCCAAAGGCACCCTCTTCCCCAGGGAGCCCTTGGAGCACAGGACTGAGAAGAAAGCCGCACACACAGGCAGAGCCACAGCCCCTGGACCTCTAGGCCAGTATGTGTTTAGGAACAAAACAGGAATCTTAATTGGTGCCATCTAAGATGTGATTTAAATTTGTTTTAGTCTGAACACTGCGTGTATTAGTTTGCTAGGGCTGCTAAAACAAAATACTACAGACTGGGGGCTTCAACAGCAGAACTTGACTCTCTCACAGTCCTAGAGGACTAGGTGTCAGCAGGGCTGGTTTCTCCTGAGGCCTCGCTCCTTGGCCTGTGGACAGTGACCTTCTCCCTGCATTCTCGAAGGGGCTTTCTTCCATGTGCATCCCTGGTGTCTGTGTGTGTGTCTAAATTTCCCCATTTTAGAAGGACACCAGTGAGAATGGACTACAGCCCACCCTCAGGGCTCACCTGTTTAAAAGCCCTATCTCCAAATACAGTTATAGTTTGAGGCACCTGGAGGGGTACAACTCAGCCCCTAGCACTGTGTCAATTTACTAACCTTTTCACCTTTTTAATTATTTATTTACTTACTCACTTATTTATTTATTTAGAGATGGAGACTTGCTCTGTCTCCCAGGCTGG